AAGTAGTAAGCGCATTAGGAAGATGGTGGCCACCTTCATGTAGCTCTGCCAGGGGCCGAATGAGACCTAACGTAACTTCACGAAGAGATTCAATAAAGGAAGGCTACAGATACCTGACCTTTACATTACATCGGCTATTTCGGCTCTAACTTATGTTGTGGGGTGTGAAGCCTTCAGGAAGTCTTTATCCAAGACGCCTCCGAAGTCAGTGACTAAGTTTCTTACCCGAGGAGAAAAATACATCAATATGGAGGAGGCAATGAAGGCTAGCTCGAGCTTTGAGAAGCCCTAACTTAAGAGACCACACGAGCCAAACTTGCGACAAGATCAGGCTCGAGGCAAGCAGGAAGGACCACCTAGGCCATTCACCTGTTTGAATACCTCTAAGTCCAACATACTGATGGAGATCAGGGATATGAAGGAGCTTAAATAGCCTCCTAGGTTGCGATCTCCCCCGGAGACCAGGGACAAGAGCAAAAATTGTGACTTCCATAGGGATCATGGCATACAACCGAGGAGTGTATAACATTGCAGGGGGAGATTGAGGCCCTGATTAGAAAAAGGATTCTTGAAGACGTATGTTGGGCATGATACGCATCCAAGGAATGATCATGACAAATGAAAGACCTCAGGTTCGAGGGAGGTAACAAACCCACGGCTAGTACAATTAATATCATAATTTGAGAGATATGTCGGGAAGACCACTGCCAAGGCCTTGGAATGCTGACAACGTCAAAGTTTATTACAAGTAGTAGTCCCCACCTTCTCTATTTAATCAAGTTATTTTTTGGCTTGGATGCCCTATGTATTTTTTTCTGGTTTATAATTAGTTAATTTTTCATCGGGTGCACATGCCCCACGCGTTTTTTGTTTTAGTAGTTCATTCAGCAAGGTATGCGAGCATATAATTGTTTAGATCATAGGAAAGCTTACATGAAGTAACCGTTGGGAATGTCCCAACAAAAGTTTTTGAAGTGTTTTTCCCCGAAGACCTGTCACGAGCAGGCACCTCCGAGATATGCTACAAGTATGCACCCTAAAGACCTGCCACGAGCAGGCACCTAAAGACTTGCTACGGGCATACACCTCAAAGACCTGTCACGAGCAGGTACCACAAGGACATGCCATGAGCATGCACCCCAATAACTTAATTGATTACGTAGTCTTCGAGCTCGACCATTCCAGAAAATA